CCACGTCGTGCTCGAATGGCCTCGCGCGGTTGGATGTCGGACTCGCCTTGTATTTGATGGGCAGACCCGCGTTCCAAGATCCATGTCCGCGACGGCGCCGCTGTAGACCGTTGGACCGTCAGCGCAGGCGCTGCCACCGACGCACTGATATGAGTCGGAGACAATTCTGACACCGCAGTTGAAGGGGAGGGACGCGCGACCTCGCCGTGCAAGCGTCGCCCCCCCCCCCCCCCTGTGCATGGCGCGGAGCGCACGTGCGCTAGCGTGCAACCACCAATCGGGTATAACGTAGGGCGCCTCGACTTTGTCTCCTCTGCTGTATGAGGATTCGGTCCACTCGTGCATTTTACGCCTCACTGTGTAGGTGGTGGTGTCCACATTGACGAGGTCGAAGCGGATCGTCCGTCGTGCCAGGTCAGACAAGAGCAGGGGCCGCTCGCGGGACACGTGCGATCACGGCGACGTTCGCATCGACCTGCCGCGGGAGATCTGACACGATCGCGAGTGGATGGCGATCGGCTGTTGCGATGGGGAATAGGACGGCTGCCGGTCCGATCACTTCTGGTAGGGGGGCGCCCACGGAAGCGTTCCCGATTGGAGCGTCGCGACGGGGAACAGGGGCGCGGCGGGGGGCGGGGCGACCAGCCGCGACATCCCAGGCCACGCGAGTCGGAGCGCCCCCCGCGCCGTGGAGACGGCGAGCCTCGTCGTGACCAAAGCGCGCCCCCTGGGCTACGGGAGCGGCGCCGGCCCTAGTAGGGCTGCGGCTTCTGGCCCCCCGCGCGTCGCGGGGAGCGCGCCCCTGTGCGACCGTCGCGGCTGGAAGGCCGGACAGGGCTCCGATCGGGGGTCTTAGCGCCAGGGTCAACGCGCGCGCTGCGGCAGCTGTTCCCGTGCTTGCACGTCAACTTCGGGCCCGCATGGAAGATGAATTTCGGCATGCGCGGGTGATTGCACCAATCTTGGAGTGGGCAGGATCCGCATTGATCGAAAGCACAGCAGAAGTTCTGCCTAGGTTTATCCTTCGTCGGCTGGCCGGAGGAGCGGCCAGTGGAAGGTCGTCTGCCACGGGTGCCCCTGCAATTAATAGAGGATCGTTGTGGGTCGTGGTGCGGGGCGGGGCATTTTGCGCCGTTCGCCATTCTTGCGCCGTCCAAACTTCAACGCTGCATAAATCACAGAGTCGCGACGGCTCGATTCGTTCTTGAGGTCGCGCCGGTTGCGCTCAAGTCGGTGGAGGTCGAGGTTGGCGAGAACGCGTTGCCGAAACCACTCGTATGTTTTGTTTGGGTCGTTATTCGCCATCCTGTTGCAGTCGTGCATATCCTGCTTCGCGAGGTAGTGTCGTCGCATCTGGGCTCGGAATAATGGCGCGGGGACGCGCGTGTCGGGCGGTTCGCGGCATTCAAAATACAGTGTCCCAATCCACGATAAACCGGTTGAGGCCGTCGCCCCGCATGCGCATCAGTTGTGCACGTTCAAAGTCGCGCGCTGCGTCGTCGACTGCCATGACCTTGCATGATGGTAGCATCGTCCAATAGATTTGCCAACCCTTCAGCACGCGGCCAGTTTAGCTTGCGTTCCTGAGCTGCGGGGTTCTTGACGCGGTAGCGCTCAGAGTTGAGGGCGGCGGTGAGACCAGCTGCAAGTTTGCAGTCGATACCCTCGAAGTCAGCTGTCCTGGAGGTCCTCGCACGTTGTGGCGGGTTGTTCTGCGGCGCGCGGGAATGCGCAGGCTGTGGCGGGGCGCCCAGAAGCGCTACCACATATGTTGCGAAACATACGTTGCCACTTCTGTAGTTGTGTAATGCGTGGCACTCGTGGTGCGCACGCGGTGTCTGACTCCTTGATTGGAGTTGCGTTGGGATGTGAGACGCGCGGCAACGCCTGCGATGGAACTGGCTGGGTAGACGAATGAGGTCGCAAAGGGGAAACGCTACGCGTCTGCGTAGAAGCCGTGGCAAAAGCGGTACCTGGCGATGCGCGTCGCGTAGGGCCTGCGCGGGCGTCACCATCGGCGAGCGCGCACTCTGTCTTGTCGATGATCGGGGGGTGGATGGTGGATCTGAGCGCTGCTCACGTGGGCGGTCATAGTAACTTCGTTGGTCGCGACGTCGCGCTGCATCTTCTGGGCGTTCTGTTGAAGGCCACGTATCTCGACGTAAGAGTCGCAGGTTCGCTGGGGGTGCCTGTCCAGCCGTTGCTCTAAATCCTGAATTCGTCGGTGGGGTGCTTCGCGCTCTTGTCCCAAGTGGGCGCGCGCTTCCTCCGCCCGTGCCTTTGTCGGCGTCTCTTTCTCAGGAGATCTGGGTGAGTCGCGACCTGCGCGCGGCCCGCCGCCATCTGCGCCTCGGCCGCGCGGGCTTCGCGGGAGGCGGAATCGCAAGCCGAAGTCGGGGTGCCCAGCTGATCAGCCTGAGCCCGTGCAACACGCAACTCAGCCAGCGCAGTCCTTATATCAAGTAACTGCTGCTCGACCGTGGAGACTCGGTTCTCAAGCGTTGGCGCGCGCCCCCCAGCAGCGTCAAGACGTTGAGCGAGGGCTACTTTTGCACTGCGCAGCTTTCCGCCCAACTCTGACGTGAGCGCGGCATGGTGGGATCGCATCGTGGCAGCGGTAAGCTCGACCTGGGTACGAAGAGCGTTGGCGCCCTCACGCAACTGTGAATCCGTGGGCCCGCGCACCTCCACAGGCGGGGTCTGTCAGGCCATCAGGAGCTCAACGTGCAACATCCTGATGTGATGAGAGCAACCCCGCTGTCTCGGACGCTCACAACTAGGGCCTCCATCCGGAGGAGGTAGTCGTGAAACGTCTGGATCGTTCTGGAGTCGGAACCCCGGTGTGACTCCATCTGGTCAAGGTGACGCTGGACGGAGATCCGAGTGCCAACCGCGGCAAAAGCGCGTTGGAGCTCTTGTCTGATGGTAGCCGTCTGCGTGGCCAGACCCGACAACTGTTGGGCCGAATAAGTTCCAATCTGGTCTCGAAGCTCCGCCGTGTCACTGGCGGCGGGAGACGGATGCGACACAATGTCGCACTGTTGAAAGCCATGCAGGGCGCGTCTCTGGGAGGGGCTGCGGCTGGCGCCCCGAGTAGGAGAGCGATTGTGAAACCATTCAGGAACCTTGCGCTGAGATGTCTACCTAATACGGTTCTCGATGACCCGCACATGTTCAGAGACAGACACAGTAGTGGGCGACGTGACCTGAGCCCAGCGGCGGCTGCGCGCGGAAGTGAAGTCTGGATACACGTTCGCAGCGCCACCGCTGCGGGCGTTGCCCCCGACGCCTTTCGTATCAGCGAAGGTAGGACGAAACGATGCAGGCGTAGCGAAACCAGCCGCGGCTCCGACGGCAAACTGGACAACCGCAGGTGTTGCCACCGGCGCGCATGACACGGAAGTCTCGGGCGCCGCGGGCGGCGAATCCAGCCGTTGTCGCGAGGTCGTCGGTGTGCGAGCGCGCGCGGGCGGCGGCGGCAGCAGCGGAGAATCAGGTAGAAACTCCCCCAGTGCAGCCGCGAGGGAAACAGTGCTGCCTTCTCCTGAACGGGGGGAGACGGGTATCACAAATTCTCTCGCCCTCTCCATGGAAACGTCGCGAACGCGCGCCGTCGAGGACGCCGCACGCCTGCAGGCGCCGCGCCCCGAGGGGGCAGCGCCAAGCGGCGGAGCCCACGATGACGCGAATCGCGACAGAGAAGGGCGTGAAAGAAAATGCTGATAACCTGTTTGTATAGGGAGGCGACCGAAGGGTCGAACCTGTACGGGGTCTCCGTAGGTAGAGGCGAGGAGGACGACTCCTTGTCCAGGTCGCTGCACAGGGAGCAGCGCACTGTCAGTGTTTGTGCCAATACCTGAGCCGCTACACTTCCGGTTTGTGATGATATAATGGGGTTATGAACGGACTAGACACACACCTCCTCCTCCTCCTCGTCCTCCTCCTCCCCCTCCTCCTCCTCCTCTTCCTCCTCTTCCTCATCCCGCTGATTTTCCCCACCATCCTCTCCCTGGTGTTTCCCAGAAAATTTCCACAACGGCTTGGGGAACACATGGTCCGATGGCCTGGCAGAGCACTTGCCCCAACGCTCGGCCACATGGGCGACTCCAAAAGGCAGGGGTGCGGCGGTCATTCGCCGCACGCGTCCTCGGCATTGGAAACCAAACTCCCAACGACTGTACAAATAGCGGGTTGGTGGTGCTCCAACCGGGGCCTTCGCCCTGGAGCCGCGCACACTTTCCGAAAACTGTTGGAAGCCTCCACAGGGGAAAGATGATCCTAGGTTTCGGTGTTGGTGGTAATGTCGGCCACCTTGGAAGCCAGAATATTACAACCATCATCGAGATGGGGATCTTCTTCCCTCGGTGGAAGCACACCGCCGATATTGGTGTCGGTGTCAACCTCTAGGCCTGAATTGCACGGATGGAGGGTGGGTCCTTGTCTTGGATAGGGCTCTCGCCTTGGCGCCGCGCGCTTGTCTAGAGCAACTCCGACAATGATAGTGATGATGGGCGCACCCTGCAAAGAATGAGGCTCTCGCCGTGCACGCTCCTTTGACAAAACAGGGCAGCAACACGAACAGGAGGCGGCGCGTTCTCAAACATGGGATTCACGCCGGAGAGAGCACTCGCGAAACCAAGCATTGCACCGGCTACACGGATGGAGGGCGGCGGCCCCTTGTCAAAATGGACTCAACCCTCGATTCGCCAAACACAGCTTGCACCCAAAGGGGTTCTTGCGCCATGTTCGAAACAGCCGGGTGGGTGCGCCGAGAAGGTTCCGCGTTGGCGCCCGTGCCGCACCGCGGGCGCGCGTGGGCGCCCGTGCCTGCGGCTCCGCCCAACATCGGTGATTCAGGCAAGGGGGCCATGAGGGTACGGGAAGGAGGAGCACAAGCTGGACCCGCTCTGCTGGTTCACAAGCGGATCGAATATGGACCCCATCCCTCAGGGCCCCCATCTTCGGACCGCCCGAAACAGTGCCAGGGGCGGCCACTCGGCTCATGTCTTCAGCAGGACCCTCTCGAGGCTGTCAAGCCCGTCCATCCTGCAGAGTAAGTCAACATCCATTCGGAAAAAACGGATCGAACCCGAATGTGCGTCGAATCGGACCGCATCGGTGCGGAGTCGGAATCAAACCGGGTCGGCCGCGCCAAGACGTACAACTACGCTGTGGAAACATCGGGGTGCAGCGAATCGGGGAGACATCGAAATCGAATCCGATCGAGCTGGGTGAATTGACATCGAATCGGATCGATCAAATCGAAGTGGGCCCTATCCTGAGGTCGAAGTCCTCGCCGTAGTCGACGATATGCCCGAGCCAGACCATTAGCAGGCGCAGCTCCGAGCTGAGCTGCTCGAGCGTGGGCCTGGCCATCCTTCGCTTGCCACCTCATCCCTGCTCCTCCCCCCCGCCATTTCATGTACATGTCCGCACGTGTCTAAACGATGGTACAAATGCATACGTGTACGTGCGCGTTTGAAAACTCCTCCTCCTTGTCGTAATCACCATCCCCCTCCAACCTGCACCGCCGCCCCTCCACACCCCGACTCCAATTCCTCTTTGTCGCCTGGGTCATCCGTGCCATCCTTGTAGTCAGGATCATCCCCTTCGTGTTCTTCCTCATCACCATAATCATCACGACCACCACTGCCACAATCATCCCCGTCATTACCACCACCATCTACCGCCAGTATGGTCCTCGTCAACCGCCGCCTTTCTCATAACCCTCATCTTACTCCTTCCCTTCCTCCCTCCTCCCTGCTCCCTACTGCAGCGGCCTCCTCCGCCGCATCCGCCGAAATGGATTCCCTCCTTCCTCAACTTCCCCTACCTCATCATACACATCCCTCCCTACTGCCTCCATCCACCTCTTTATCATGATGGTCATAGTCGCTGATCCTCCTACTCGTCCTTCTCGGTCCCGCTCATCCCCTACATGCTCATCACCCCCCTGGTACTGCTCCTCCTCCCTTTCCATGGCGCAATAGTTTCATGCTCCTCGCTTCCCATCCCCATCACAGCCGTAATGCCATCAGCGGTAATACCGTCATTATCGTGTCATACCCGCCGGGTCATTACCCGTATCATCGCCACAACAACCACCATGATAATCTCTTTCATCGAAACGGCCATCGTCACCGCCACGAGCGCCACACCGAGGTAATAAACACCATCGTCAACATCACAAACATCCATTTCTTTTCATTAACATCAGCCGCTCAAGCCAGACTACCGTGTCAAACTTACTTCCAAGGCATTCCCCTGTCTAAGGCCAATTGCGCCACGTGATCTGCTAGACTATTGAAGCGCTGGGTGCCCCATGAAACACGGCCGGAAAAGCGAGTGAACGAGTGCACGCCTCTGCAGAACATATGAACCAAGCACAGAGATATGAAATCGAAACCATGGCGCAGAACTGATCCATTCAAAGTCCCTCTGCGAGCAAACAGCTGGGCGACCTGCTTGTCGTCAGTTTGCACCCACAAGGGGAAAGCGCGGCCCACTCCCTTTCACAAGGGCTCCGAAGTAGGAGCATCACCGAGGGACGTGCTAAACTTCGCTATACCAGGCCCGCGGATTACCTCACTCGAACTGCCATGTTCAATTGGAAGCCACTCTAATCTCTGAAAATCGGTATACCAATTATCCACTGTGGCAAGGTCCGGCAAACATCACGTGAGTATCTCCGATGGGCTGTTAATTCATTTAGGAATGGCCACTCCCTGCCAGTCGGTTGATGCCCATTGCGGCCATGAGCCGATCCGCACTTACGAATTCTGTGATCTGGGGTAATCGCAGTTCAAGTGTCCCACCACATATGCCTTGTAGGATCTTACCAATTGCGACTTCGGGTTCCGAGCCACGCCGATTCGTGCAACGACTTGATCACCCTGTGGAAGATAAGTTGGGATCCGCAATACCTGCCCCATCCTGGTATCATCGCAGTTGCCAACCTGTTGTAGCGCTGTGGACTACGTCCACGTCGCCATCTGAGCCGAGAACACTCTCCAAATCAAGTTCCCTCTATTCAAACTTGTGCCTCACCGTCGGGTCCAAAGGTATGCTGCCCCAATCGCAATCACCAAAACCACCACCACCGGCGCAACCACCACCATCATCATCATCATCATCATCATCATCATCATCATCATCATCATCATCATCACCATCATCATCATCATCGCCATCATCATAATCAGCGTCAACATCAGCATCATCAGCATCATCATCAAGCTACGCCTCCTCCTCATAATATTCATCATCATCAGCATCAGCATCAGCATCACCATCATTATCAATCATCATCACCACCATCATCGTCACCAGCATCGTCATCATCGTCATCGTCATGTCGTGGTCGCCACGATCGTCATCGTCCTCAGTCATCGTCATCACGATCGTCATCGTCACGATCATCCTTCTTTCCAGATTTGCCAGGGGCCCCAAACGCGGGCCTGTCGAGCAGGTTCACCGTCTTGCAGAGCGGCCGGGGCCCCGTGGCCCCCTTTCGGGGGGACGCGGGGGGGGGGGCTGCGCATGCATGCGCACGCGCGGGAGCACCGCTCCCCCCCACCCCACACCCGACGGGGCAGCGGGACAAGAAGAAGGGGGGGAGATAGAGAGGAAGCAGGAGGTAGGGAGTCGGAGGGTGAGGAAGTGAGGGGAGGAGGAGGAGGAGGAGGAGGAGGAGGAGGAGGAGGAGGAGGAGGAGGAGGAGGAGGAGGAGGAGGAGGAGGAGAGAGAGGACGAAGGGGGAGCAATCCCGTCCCCAATTTCCATTTCTGATCCTCCTCCTCCTCCGCCGCCTCCTCCTCCCTCCTCTTCCGCCTCCTCCTCCTTCTCCTCCTCCTCCTCTTCGCTCTTCCCTCCCCATCCTCATACTGGCTCTGGCTAAGCTCAGCCTCCTCCTTCTCCTCCTCCTCCTTTCTATAGCAGTGCTTTATCATCTCGGTCCCATCGCTGTATCACTGTAGACCTGGCGGTTGATAAGATAATGCATTCCGCTGGTCCATGCCACGATGCGATGACGTGCTTATGATGTGGCTGGCTTCTCGATGAAATGGGTTGCGCCCAGCGCATTGTTTGGGCGAGGCCCTGCCTTGGGTTATAACCAACGTCTCCTTGGATACTCATTGGGACGACATTCAAAGCCCTGCATTTGCCCTTGTCGCCACGTTATTGCGCCTCTGCTGGGGCTGATCTTCGATGTCCGTGCGAGTAACCCATGGGAGTCTTGATGATGACGTGGAACACGCCTCCCCTCGGGACGTTGCTGTTGCTGTTATACCTTGGGATGCAGATGTATGGGCTTGGTGTCAAGCTGTACCGGATCCTCCCCGTCTTGCTCGCTTGGACGGCCCCCCGTGCATGCCGCCGCTGAGGAAGCTCGTCGAGCATTTGGGCTGGCAGCAGTATGTGCTTGCACGCAGTGTTGACTGAGTCGCTCAACCGTTCTGTGGAATACTTACCGTGTGGGCATTGTCCGGGACAACGGCTCTACACCATTTGATCTGGAGCTGTCCAGTCTTGTAGGAAGACCGGCGCACATATAATTTGCCGCCGCACGTGGAACGAGTTCGAGAAAGGTTCCCAGCAGATCCACTGTGGCACTGAGCCTTGGCGCCTGACCCTGAGCGTATTCTCCCCCTCCCCCTTCTGTGCTTCGAGGTCCAATGGGATTTCCCTGGTAGTCCCGATCGGCCTTTGATGCAATCGCCCCATATTGGTGATGGCTCTGGCCCTATGCCCTTCGATATGGCTTTTCGGCCGTGTCTGTGAGCCCTAGGTCGGAGACTCACGCGATACTGGTTTGCCTGCTTCATTCTGTACCTGATCAGCATGGGCGCTACGAGAATCAAGGAGATTGACAATGAGTGTAGATACATGGTCGACCTCTGAGGCCCGCTCTACCTCTGGGTGAATGACTTGGTGCCCCCCCACGCCAATATTTGAAGGTGCATCAAGTTGAAAGCATGTGATATCGGGTATCGTGTAACTGATATGCGCAAGATAACAGCTCATCTTAGAATCATGCCGCCCGCCCAGGCGGCATGGATGACCACAAGGAAAACGCACGCTAATGCGTGCGCACGCAATGCCCCTCATAGTACGGACAACGTGGTTTCCAACACGCGCATGCACATGTCATGTAAACTATGTTGTTCATGGTCGTCCACGAATGTAGCACACCTTGCGGTCCGTTGCAAACAGAAGACGGCCTCTGCCAGAGGCCGTGATCGTCTCGGGCGGACTTGACCCGAAGCGAAATGTCTCCTTGGGCGCGGTAGTTCCCGCCACTCAAGATTCTTAGTGACCTTGGGGAGCCCACCACTGCGGGCCCCAGCTTAGCATTGGTCCCACCGCCTTTACTGCGCGCGGCGCAAGCATGTCCCAATGAAGATGTACGACGACTGTTATCATGATTATGTTGAAGTTGTTGAGTTGACGCTGTCGCTGCTTATGCTGGCGACGCGGGGGAAAGGGCCACACTTTATTGATGCATGATGGGTCTCGTCCGACCGGATTGGCCATATCGCCGGTGTGTTTCACGCTTGGGCGCATTCACCCGCACGCTTGCCCTTCTTCCACGCCTCTTGCACTGCTTGTTTCACCCTTTCTTTTCTCGGACATGACTCTTTGGAGGCAGGCCAAACCAAGCTCCATGATTCCCGTCTCTCTTCCTCCTCCTCGTCCTCCACTACCGTCCTCCTTTTCCTCTTGCTCCTACTCGACCTCCTCGGTCTTTCCTTCTTCCTCTCATCGCGCTCCCCATCCCTCTGCCTTTGGAAGCGGGAGCCCCCCCTTCCTCCCGTGGACAGGGAGAGTGAGAGGATGATGATGATGAGGAGGAGGAGGAGGACCAGTGCAAACCCAAGACTCATCAACGATGTTAAAAATCTCCCTCCCTCCAAGATTCCTCTTCACTGGCCCATACAAGGGGGTCATTTCTACTGAGGAATTGTCCCGATGAGGGACAGACGTATGAAGATCTTGAAATTGAAGCAAGGCCAAACACCATTCTCACGACTTCAACGCCACGAACTGACCTGACTGCTACGTCGTGGCGATCCCATGTCGTGCCAGAACACCGTTCCTGGGACTTCAACATCGCAAGTCAACGAAAACGTTGCGCCCCGACATTCCTGAATCATTCCAAAGCGCCGTTCATAGTACGTTAACTATGAGAACAAATGAAAACCTTGCAAATGTGTAAAACGAATGTGCGCGACACTACGGCGAGAACCATATTGTGAGATCCACCCGCCCTCAATCCGTGAAAATCTTGCAAACGCTTAAAACATTTTTTCGCGGCGAGAAGACGATAGCCACATGTTGAACAACACCCGCCCTCAACCCGTGAAGCTCACGCATATGCCTTTAAACATGTGCGCGGCGCGAAAACGAGAACTAGATTTTGAAGACGAACTATCATCAATCCGAGAAATTCCTGCAATTGCTTGAAACACATGTTCGCGGCGCTAAGGCGGTAGCCACATGTTAAAGCCAACCACTGTCAACCCGTACGCGGCGGTGAAGCGAAAGCCACAATTTGAAAACCATCCGCCCCCGATCCGTGAAACTCTTGCACATGTTTAAACGAATGTACGCAAAAACCACAGGTTGAAAACAACCCGCCCTCAATACGTGAAGCTCTGGCAAATATTTGAAACGAAGGCGCTAAGGCGAGAGCCACATTGTGAAAACGACCCGCCCTCCATCTGTGAAACTGGTGTCACCTATTAAGCATCAGGGTCATGAATGGAGAAATAGTCTCAAGCGACACGCCCGGCCCACCCTTTCGACCGGTCTCGGGGTGCGACATGGAAGAGGTATCTATAAAGAAAAAATGAAGGAGGAGGTGGAGGAGGAAAAGGCAAGCTAGGTGCGCTTGCGCCATATCTGACATCCCACTTTTCCAACTCACCCCTTCCCGTTGCGCTAAGGTCTCTTTATCCTTCGACGGGTGTCACAGAAGAACAGAAACCCCGAGAGGGCCACATATCGTGCAACGCACAATCAGCAAAGAGGAGCTGTGCAGATTGGGAGAGGAGGCGATGGCGGATGAGAAGGAGGATGAGCATGAGGAGGAGGTGAGGATGATGATAAAGACGGACGAAGAGGAGCAGCAGCAGCAGGGGCAAAAGTAGGAGGAGCGAGAGGAGCAGGAGGGCAAGGGGAACGTGGAGGAGGGGAAAGGAGCAGGACGACAACGACGGGTAGTTAAGGATTCAGATCTACGCGTGTGGCACGCGCTGGAGAGAGAGCGCCATTAATGGACGACGGGAGCAAAGCACCGATCCTAAGATGAGGCTACCGCTGCAGCAAGAACATCGTTTGTACAACACACCGATAGCGTTGCAGTGGAAAATGGCAATATGAAATACCAACGTTTGCGCACTTATGCCAAAACTACACGCAGAGGACGCGAGACGTCCAGGACGTAGTCAGGCGAGAGAGGAGAATAGTATTCATATTGTGCACTTGCGAAGAAACGAAAGAGAAGCAGCAGCAGCAGCAGCTGCCAGACAAGACCGAGGACAACAAGGAGCACGGGAGACGAGGGCGATGATGGTGAGGACGGTGAGGAGCAGATGGAGGAGGAGCGAGGATGCTGAAGAAAAAAAAGCAGACTGCGGCCGCACCTAGGACAGAAAAACATCCTTCCAGGACACGAGACCCTCCGCTGGCCAAACTGAAGAACCTTCGAGGGTACCCTCCTCCAGGATGCACAAGAACATCAAACAAGCACGAAGAAAATTAGGGTACCCTGCCTGAACCGATCTCGAACTTACACCTCGGTCCGACCGTAGGCCGGGAGGCAGGGATGACGAGGCCGAGGAGGGAAAAGGCAGGCAGGAAGCGAGATTTCCTTGCCTCCTCCCTCCTCCTTCCCGCCTCCACCCATGGGGAAACAAAAATATCAGACTGAGGGGGCCGAGCGGTCATTCAGCGTCCCTGCGCGAATGGCTGAATAAGGAGCTCGTGGTGAGACTTCGGTTTGTTGCGTTGTTGTTGTTGTGGTTGTGGTTGTGGTTGTGGTTGTGGTTGTTGTTGTTGTTGTTGAACTGCCACTTCTGAATAAAAGTTATTGATGATCCCCTCTCACCTCACTGGCGCATCCTGTTTTTTTCTCAATCCAAATGTGCTTGACGACGCTCGCACCCTGTTTTTTTGACAGGGGATATCCTGGTGCTCAAACTGGGCCCTTGGTCCCCCGGATTACAACAACAACGGCTCCCGCCTGAGACTTCCTCCAAATTTACTCAAGACCCCCGCTCCTGAAACTTCCTCACAATTTACTCACGATCGGTGCTCCCGCCTGTGACCTCCTCGCAATGTAATCAGACCCCCCGCTCCCATGTGAGACGTCCTCACAATTTACTCAGGAACGGCGCTCCCGTTTGAGACTTCCTTGCATTTGAAACAAGACCTCCTCCCAATTTAATCAAGACCCCCGCTCCCGCCAGAGGACCTTTTCACACTTTATTTAGGAACTGCGCTCTC